GTGTAGGCCCCCTCCCAAACCCCAGGAGCCCGTGTGGAGGAGGTACCAATCCCTAAATTACCAGTGGGGCAGGAGCCAGGCGCTGGCCACCCAGCATCACCCTGGCAGTGGGTGCAGCTGCGGCCACCCGTCCACTAAGCTCGGTGCCCCCACCCCTGCCGTGACTCTTCGAGGACTGCTGAGCCCTTCCTCATGGCTAGCCCTCCCCTGGGCATTGCCACCTCTTGTGGCCCTGGCCACGATGACTGGCATGGCATCCCAGGCTGGTACTCGCCACTTTTCCTTCCTGCTCTAGTAGATCCAAGGCCCCGGAAGCCAGCAGCCTGGCTGGTTATTTGCCTGGGAGGAGGGCACGGGGGTGTGAGGCAGGGTCCTGCCGGTGCTACCCTAACGGGTCCCCTGCCTGCAGCAGCTCTCCCCCTACCCTTTCTTCATAAAGAGCCCGCATCATCTCAAAATGCGAACCTGACCAGGTCACTCCCCTCACTCTAAACTCCTGAGTGGCTCCCCATTGCCCTTAGGACGAAGCCCAACTCCTTCACCCAAGTGCACGAGTCCTCGGCCACCTCCCTGGCAGCCGCCCCTGCTATCTAGAGGAGCCCGTTCCTGAAGGCACCATATTCCGGGATCCTGCAGGGGCCCAAACGCTCTTCCCTGCGCCTCTGTTTAGGCTGCAGCTTGAATATTGTATCCTCAGGGAATCTCTTGTGATCCCAGTTCCCCTCTGCTCCGGCAGCCCTCCTGTCTCCAGGGCAACAGTAATGGTCCTTGTAATTTCTGCTCTGCACCTGCTGTCGGAAGAGGCGCCTGTGGGTCGGGTTCGCACTGCCCACAGCCCCAGCCCTAGTACTCCGCCAGGCAGATTGCTGGGTGAATGGATGAACGGAGCACTTTAGCCATGGCAGGGGTGCTCCCTTAGTCAACTAAAGAAAAATAACTGGGACAGGTGTTGTGGCACGGTGGCACAAGCCCACGCTTGGGGCACCCACATGCCATTATCTGCTGGAATCCCGGCTACTCTGCTTCCAATCCAGCTTCCTGCTGATGCACCTGGAAGCCAGCAGGGGATGGACCAGGTACCCGGGCCCCTGCCACGCACATGGGAGATCCAGATGGCGTTTCTGGCTCCTGGCGTCAGCCTGACCCAGCACTGGCTGTTGCAGGCACGATCTCTCTCTTTCTCTCCCTTTTTGCCTTTCAAATAAAATATATAAATAATTTTTAAAAACCTCTCAATCATTTAGAAATAGAGAGAGGAAAAAATCGAGCTGAAGAGCCGAGTTGTAAACATTTGCTGGCGGTTCCTGCCTCACACAGACATGGACACTGGGCAAGCTGGTCCGGTCCCAAGTGACGCCCGAAACATTCAGATCCTGTTCCTCTCCTCACACCACCCGTCTCTGCAGTTTCTGTCTGGGAAATGATGTATTTACTCTTAAAAAAAAAAAAAAAAAAAAAAACAATATCTTTGTTTACCCACAACCAACTGCAGCAATGCAAGGAAACGTGAGTAACCCAGTTACCAGCACAGCACTGGTGCCCAGGGGGAGGGCATGTTCTGGGAACCCCGCAGAGTGGCTCTGGGGCCTGTGGCTCCCCTCCCACCCTCCAGCAAGGACACATGCCCTCACTCTTAACAGTTTCTGCATCCACTGCACCCTCTGCTATCCCAAGGAGCAAATCTGCCCCACTGGGCAGGAAAGGGGCATGGATGGATGACCCAAGGTCACACGGGATTCCAACGCTGCACAGTCAAGGTCATACCCAACCCCCACTCCAGCCTAAACTCAGCCCCCAGCTTGGAAGGTGAAGGAACATTCTCAAGGCACTACTATGGCAGATCACCTGACCCATGTGCCTGGTTCCTGTTCCAGCCCTCTGGGAGGTTGGTACCTGCTCAGGCTCTCTCTTGCTCTGTGACTCCTGGCCACCCCCCAACCCGCGTGCATGCACACCCCCGCTCTGTGCCTGCTGCTGGGTGGTCTGAGGACAAGCACAAGCAGGAGACATAGGCTGGAGTAGGGGTTCCACCCAGGGCTTAAGAGCAGCCTGAGGCTCTGCCAAGGGGGAGAGACCTGGGCCGGGAGCTGGGGGCCCAGCAGGGAGCCTCAGCGGGACAACAGGAAGCACCCTTGGGGCGGGGAGGAACCCTGGAGGGGCGGGGCCACTGAGTTTGTTTAACACCCACAGAGCAGGGGATCCAGGGAACAAGCACTGGCAGTCCTGGGTCACCCCAGCTCAGGAGGACATCGGTCCAGGGCCCAGTGTTTAGAGCAAACCAAAATGACAAGGGCCGAAGAGGCCTGCCGTCAGCCTCCACCCCACCCACTCAAGTGCGTCAGCAAGGACGGTGGGGACGCCACCCCAGCCCGCCTCATGCCCTCGTGCTTGGCCCTGCCACCGCTCTAGCACGCCCACTTTCTCCTCCTCCAGCCTCACGGTGGCCTTTCCTGTGCCCTCACACCTTGGGTCTTCTATCACTCAGGTCGCATCTCTCCGGCCAGGACGGCACCCTTGTGTAGCAAGACAGCTCTTCTAGACAGGCTACCCAGCTAGGCCTGGGTGGAGAGCGCCAGACCACAGGAAGCACAGTGTTTTCACGGCTCTTCCTCCTCCTTTGCATAGGGTTTGGCACACAGCAAGTACTCAGCACATCTCTGCTGAGCTGCGAACTGTCCTGGAAGCACCACTGTGCTGTCTTTCCCCCACCAACAGGGCCGACTTTAATCCTTCTTCCAGACCAGCAAACAGGTCAGACGGCAGGGAGAACTTCCCACCCAGAGCTCAAGGCTGCGAAAGAAAGGCAGCAGCTGCTCTCGCAGCGCCCGCTCATGGGGCCACCTCAGGAGGGCGCTAACCATCCCTCGGGAGGGTGAGCGCTAACGTCCCATCTCACAGAAGAGGAACCTGGAGCTCAGGGCGACAGAGCCACAGGACCAGACATCCTGTGTGGGACTGGAGGAGCCGGGACTCAAACCCAATCACCTGATCCAAAGCCTGGGGTCTTCCCAATGGGCTGGGAAACCCCTCAGGCTGGCAGGCTCTGAAAAGTGTCCCCAAAGGCGAGAAAGAAAAAGTCTTCTTTCTGAGTGACTTGGACCGGGCTGGGCTGAGAGGCAGTGTGGAGGATGAAACCACAAAGCCTAACGCTCTCACCTCGCCCCTGCATAACAGGTAGCGCGTGGCTTGCCACCCAAACCATCGAGCAGGGGCGAGTTCTAACCCAGGGGATGGGTGCGGTCCAAGATGGTCTCTAAGCAGCCTCTGACGCAGTACAGCGCTGGACTCTGGAGAGGCCAGTGTGGTACCCGAGGGTGGAAGGGACTAGCCGGGTAAGAAGACAGGACAAAGTGGAAGGGCAGATTAAGCTGCTGCTGGTGATGCCAGCATCCCATTTCAGACCGGCAGTTCGAGTCCCAGCTGCTCCACTTCCAATGCAGCTCCTGGCTAATGACTGCGTCTGGGAAGGCAGCAGATGATGGTTCAAGTCCTTGGGCCACTGCCATCCGCATGGGAGACCTGGATGGAGTTCCTGGCTTTCCGGCTTTGGCCTGGGCCAGCCCTAGCTGTTGCAGATATTTGGGAAGTAAAACAGCAGGTGGAAGATCTCTGTCACCATGCCTTCCAAATAAAAATGTTTAAAGGTGGGGGAGGGGGGCTAGGTACTTGTGGGGAGTGGGGCTGGAAAGGAAGTTGTCCCAGGCACAGCAAGGGCTGGCCTGGGGGTCCTACCCGGTTCTTACCCGGGCATCACAGAAATCACTGACACATGCCCTCAGGCCCCACGTGATTTGTACCCATTTCACAGGACACTGACCAGGACTGGGAGAGAGAACCCGAGGGGCCTGTCCATGGGAAAAGAAGCCACACAGGAGGCCGCCTCCACCCAGGGATGGAGAGGCAGCAACCAGGCCCTGGGCTCTGGCGCCACAGACCTCCCTCCTCCAAACAGCCCTCCAACGGCCCAGCCTGGAGCTAGCAATTTCTGTCCTGTAGAGACCCCCATGAAATTCCTCCCCTGGACAACTCCCCCTTCTCCCTGATACCTCTGCCCACCCCAGTGTGAGGACTCATTGCAAGGAGATGTTGGGGAGATGGGCTGGTCTTCGGACAGCGGCCACCTCCACCCTATGCCAGCAGGAGCGGCGGCGATGCCAGTGCCAGTGCCAAAGCACTCCATACGCGCTCTGCCACCCACGACGCACCTCGTCCAGCCTCAGATCTACCTCGGCGTCCAGGGGCGCCCAGGTTCGGGTGGATCCAGACACCTCGGAACTGCCGCCCGCGCGAATACTACCCAGCCCTGCAGCCCAGGGTGTCCAAGCCAGGCCAGGTCCGGGGACTTCCGGATACCCCAAATCAGACCGCACCAAGTGTCGCCAAGCTGAAGCGACCACCCTGAGCTCTCCACAGCCGGCCCCGGCCAGTCGCCTCCCCACGGAATCAGGGGCAGCGCGGCCGGCGAGCCGAGCCCAGCCGGACGCCCCCCTCCCCGACTCGCGCCTGCAGGGAGCCGGCGCCCAGCCCCCCGCGGGCCGGGCCGCCCCGGGTGCCATCCGCGGCGCTGCTCCCAGGACCTGGAGGCTGAGCGGCACTCACCATAGCTCGCCCCGTTCCGGCCCGCGCCGCTCCTGGTCTGGCTCCAGCCCGCGGATCCCACTCCCGGCTCCCGGCTCCCGCTCCGGCTCCCGGCTCCCGGCTCCGACTCCGGCTCCCGCTCCGGCTCCGGCTCCCGCTCCGGCTCGTGCTCCGGCTCCCACCGCGCTGCTAGGAATGCGCGGCTGCCCGGCCCCGGCGGCGCGCTCGGCTCCCCGCAGGCGGGCAAGCGGCTCGGGGCCCCATCCCGGGAGGCGGGGCCCTCTCGGGGCCAATGGCGGGGCGCGTGGGCGCGGGCCGGGGCGGTGCAGCCAATCCCGCCCCGCGAGTTTCTTAACCCTCGGTGCGCCGGACGCTCTCGGACCCGGCTGTGCGGAGACCCGGGGCGGCGGCGAGGGCGGGCCCGTCGGCGCTTCAGGCTGCGGGGTCCAGGCCACGCTGAGACCAGCCTTGGGGGCAGGGTGAGCCGCGGGAAGGTTTAGCTGTGTCCAGTGCGGGCGCAGGGTGCTGGGTGACCTTTGTCTCCTGCCTGGCGCCTGCAAGCATCAGTGTGCTCTGTGTATGTGCTGTGTGTGTGTCATGTATGGGCCCCGTGTGTGCACTGTGTGTACGTGTGTTCTCCGGGTGTGCATTGTATTGCTGCGTGTGGCTGTGTGTGCTTATGGGCGTGTGTGTGTGCATGTGTCTACGCGCATGTCTCTGTGTGTGGGGTGAGGATGTGTGTTTATATGTGTGTTTATCCTGTGTGTGTGTGTGTGTGTGTGTGACTTTGTGATTGTTTATACTTGTGTCGTGCTGAGCTGTGGAGAGCATAGCAGGTAAAGGATGAGCCCAGATCTCCCAGCGGGACCAGGATGTGGGTTTGAAGGATGTGAAGGAAGTCCTGGGCCCTGCCTACCAGCTGCCCACTGGGGAGGGAGGCTTGAATTGGCTGGAGATGCAAATGGAGTCAGGGAGCAAGACCCTCCGCGGAGTGGCTGGCAGTGCCCCTGGCCAGCTGCTGGCCCAGAGTGAACTCAGGCGTGGCGGGGAGGAAGTCTGGAGCCGGAGCTAGATTCCAAAGGAGACCATCTGCTCCCGGCCAGTGTGGGAACCGAGGGCAGGGAGGAGGCCAGGGACGGAAGCCTGTGCCGGCGCCTGTGCTCAGCAGCACCTGCAGTTCCCTCAGTGCCGGGGGAGACACGGGCAGGGGTCACAGGGTCACCATACCCTGGCCTGGCTTCAGATTCCCCAGGCATCCTCCTGAGAAGCCAGCCTCCTGCCCAGGGGCGCACTGTCGGATCTGGGGAGGCTTGAGGATGGAGCCCAGTGACCCCGCCCGTCTGCTGCTGATGGGACATTGGGGTTCTCCTCTCCTCTCTTGAAATCGTGTGTGTGTCTATTTTCATCTTATTTGATAGACAAGGAAAAACAGAGAGAGAGAGAGGTGAACATCTGGGGTCCTCGCTGTGGCGCAGAAGCCTAAACCTCCATCTACAGTGCCGGCATCCCATATGGGCACCGGTTCTAGTTCTGGCCGCTCCTCTTCCAACCCGGCTCTCTGCTGTGGCCTGGAAAAGCAGTGGAAGATGGCTCAAGTGCTTGGGCCCTTGGGCGCTGTACCCGTGTGGGAAACCTGGAAGAAGCTCCTGGATCCTGGCTTTGGATTAGCTCAGCTCCGGCTGTTGCAGCCATTTGAGGAGCGACCCAGTAGATGGAAGACCTTTCTCTCTGTTTCTTCCTCTCTCCCCGTAACTCTACCTCTCAAATAAATAAATAATAAAGAGAGATGGACGTTTTTCGTCCACTGGTTCACTCCCCAAATGCCTGCAACATTCAGGGCTGGGCCAAGCCAAATCCAGGAGCCAGGAACTCCACAAAGGCCTCCCACATGGGCGACAGGGACCTAAGGACTTGCGCCATAACCTGCTACCTCCCAGGATTCACATTAGCAGGAAACTGGATCAGAACAGACAGGAATCAAACTCACCGAGCAGTTGCCTTGGGGTCTGTGTGCTCTTCTGTCTCTGTTAGATGCCAACAAGAAGTTCGAAAAATAAAAATGAAAGGTCAGGTAATGCGACCACATTTTATTCACGCACACATGGGTGTTCTGGAAGGTTCTATTAGCTAGGCAGGACCTGGGTTGCGTATTGGAGTAACAGTGTGGACAAAGTGAGGAAGACTATGGCAAGGAAGACCTTGGCGGGGATGGGGGAAGCCTGCTGGAAGCCACTCGGGGCTGGTGGCAGCCCTGGCCTGGAGCCAAGGCCTCTGGCTGCAGGGGTGCCTGGACACTGCCCACTGCCCCGGGGGAGGTAGCCGGGTCCTGTGCTGCTCAAGGAAAAGCAAATGAGGAAGTTCGCTGCCAGCTCTGTCTCCAGCCTCCCACTAAGCAACCACAGAGACACCCCTGCTCCCAAGAGCTTCCTGGGAGTCTTAGAGACTGGGTGGATGTGCAGGGGCCCGTCCTCCAAGGACTGAAGCCTCTGGGCACAGGAACCGCCTGGCCAGAGCATCAGGGCTCAAAGTGCCAGAAACCTTACAGTAACTTACACCTTACAGTAACTGGAAGCAAAACGAAGGAGCCCCCCACCCAATGTCACTCTAAATAGCAGGGACAGCCGCAGCTTTGGGCACAGCTGATTCCGTGAGAGGCTCGGATGATGTCACCAGGATTCAACATCATTCTCTCGGTCTCTCAAGACTGCGTCACTCTCTGCTGCTCTGGTTTTGGGGTGGCCTCTCTCCTCCTGATGACAAAACAGCTGCCAGCAGCCCCAGATTTGCATCCGACTCTCAGCTACTCCAACAGAGACGGAGACTTCACTCGCCTGCAGCCTCCTTGCCGCTCCCAGAGACCTTGTTGCTTCCTCAGCCAGTCCCTGCGGCCCGGCCAGACTGCAGGGAGCGAGAGCCTCAGGGGTGCCTGGCATGCCAGTGCTGGTGTGGTTCCAGCCACCCAGCTCGGGACCCACCAGGATCCAGAGGGAATCTCCCGGGATTGTAGAGAGGCGCACCTTGCCATTCGTGGCAGCTGCTGTTATTGGCACTGGGCATCCTCGGCTCCGCCCCTCTCACCGTCCTGGCTGGCATAGATGTTCTGTCATGTCTGGTACACAGTGGTGCCCACACAATCCTGCCACCCGCGCCAGGTCAGACAGAGGTGGGCAGTGTGGGCAGCCCACAGGCATGCCGACAACTCACGGGCACTCATCCTCGGTTTGTCTCCTATCACTGGGCTGAACCCTCAGCCTAGGAGCCCTGCGGGGACGACCAGACTGGGTGGGAACAGGGCAGCCTCTGGAGAGGAGGGGAGGAGGCCGGGGAAGACAGCACTGGGCGGCTTGTCGGACCCAATTAGGCTGACTTGCCCGAGCCCCACGGAGAGGCAGGAGCCCCAGCCCCCTGTCCTGGGCAGCTGCCCTGAGAGTGGGGACCCCCATCCCACCTGCCAGCCGCCCACTCTAGCATCTCCTTGGGCCACCCACTACCCTCATTCAATGGGGCAGGGAGTTTCTGCAGGGGCAGGAAGTCCTTTAAGCCCAACAATGGCTGCTGTTTAGCAGGTCTGGGCCGCACACTGGGCACTTTACATGATTTGAATACAAGCCCAGTGGGCTGTGTTTAGCACGCTCACCTGGTGCGGTGGGAGCCCTCCCTCCACCCTTTCCTGCCTCCCCCCGCCCCATTTCCTTACTTCATTTTGAAACAAATAAAGTCTTGCTGTGGGTGTAAGCCTTTGGCTAAGCCTCCCTCACAGGAGGGTTCCAGTCCCAGCTACTCTTGCTTCAGACCCAGCCTGCCCTAGTGCACACCCTGGGAGGCAGGAGTGGTCTGCCTTTGACTTTCATATCAAATGAAAAAAGTTTTTAAATTTAAATCTTCTTTTTCCCAAGTCAAATGTAAAGAATTCTCAGTGTAAGATAAACAACACAGGGGTGCCACTCTACAGGCTCCTGGCTTCAGCCTGGCCCAGCCCCAGACGCTGCAGCCATTTGGGGAGTGAACCAGTTGATAGAAGATCTCTCTCTCTCTCTCTCTCTCTCTCTGTGTGTGTGTGTATGTGTCTCACTCTGCCTTTAAAATAAGCAAAATTTTTATAAAGTATTCACACATCACCCTTTGGTTCATTTTAATACTAAGCTCTGGGGCCAGTGCTGTGGCATAGCAGGTTAAGCCGCCGCCTGCAGTGCCAGCATCCCATATGGGCACCAGTTCAAGTCCCGGCTGTTCCACTTCTGATCCAGCTCTCTGCTATGGCCTGGGAAAGCAGTAGAAGATGGCCCAGGTCCTTGGGCCCCTGAACCCATGTGGGAGACCCAGAAGAAGCTCCTGGCTCCTGGCTTCAGATCAGCTCAGCTCTGGCCGTTACGGTCATTTGGGGAGTGAACCAGCGGATGGAAGACCTCTCTCTCTCTCTCTCTCTCTCTCTGCCTCTCCTTTTCTGTGTAACTTTGACATTCAAATAAATGAATAAATCTTTTTTAAAAATACTAAGCTCTAAGAGCTTAAGTTTAAGAGTTTAAGCCCTGGGACCATACCATGCAGCCTGTGTAGACACCAGTCTCTGAGCCAAGCCTACGTGGTCTCGGAACCACGCCTACCTGTGAAGTTCCCCTCTTGCACATTCGGTTCCCCCTAGAATGAAAGCACCCATCTCCCTTGCTCAGGGAGGCCTGGCTCTGGAAGTTATTTGCTGTCCACTCTTTATTTGCTGCAAATAAAGTCCCTTGCACGACAGCTCCCTTGGGTGGGTTTCTTAGAACACACGAGGGAGGGAGGGGTAGGCCCAGGATTTGGGTGGGCGACACTCAGAGGTTTAGGGTTGCCCCCTCCTCACTGGGACTCCGCATTTCGCGGTGCTAACAGGGGCATGTCTGTTGTGTGAGATGAAAAGCGCCATTACCTTCCTTGGTAGCTGAGCAGCTGCAGCTGGGGCTTTGATCTGGGTCATGGGCTGGAGTAGGGAGTGAAAGAGGTAAAAGCCAACACAGGCTGAGCTTCGAGAGGTGTTTGATGGAAGCAGAAGTGGATTTAGGGACTGAAAAGGGATGAAAGGGACAGCGCTAGGAAGGTTCCAGAGGGAGAGCAAGGACGAACAGCCTGGGATCCAGGCTGACCTCTCACCTCCGTAACAAGCAGGTTCCGTTTCTCTGCCCTGCTAATATGGCCTCGCCCCGCCTTGACCAGCCCCGCCCTGCCTGGACTGCTGGACACTGCACTATCTGAGGAGTCCAGCCATCGGCCTGAGCTCTCCCACTCCTCCCAGGCTCTCTCCCTCCAGCCCCAGAGTCCAGCCTCAGTCTCAGTCCAACCCCTCCCAGCTCACACGGTGGTCTTGCAGGACCTTTGGAAGGAGCCCAGGCTCACCCTCTATCTTGGCAGCCCAGCTTCAGCTCAGACCCCCCCCCCCAGCCCCTTCCTGCCACTTTGTACTATATAAACCACCAGTCTGTAAGGAAGGGGTCTCTCTGCTGTGTGTTCGCTGGTAACTCTGCCATGGATTCACCTGGGAGTGAGCCCCTCCCAGGCTGTCCTCTTCTGAATAAGCCTGGTCTGGCTGTGGCTTCATGCTCTGTCTCTTCTTTCCTGACAGCTGGGAGGGACTTCCAGGAAGTTTTATTAAGATTATGCACGAGGGGCCGCCACTGTGGCATAGCGGGTAAAGCCGCCGCCTGCAGGGCCAGCATCCCATATGGGTGCCAGTGTGAGTCCCGGCTGCTCCACTTCTGATCCAGCTCTCTGCTAATGTGCTTGGAAAAGTAGCAGAAGACGGCCCAAGCCCTCGGGCCCCTGCACCTACGTAGGAGACCTGGGAGAAGCTCCTGGCTCCTGGCTCCTGGCTGTGGATCAGTGCAGCTCTGGCCATTGCAGCCATTTGGGGAGTGAACCAGCGGATGGAAGACCTCTCTCTCTCTCTCTCCCTCTGCCCCTCTGTAACACCACCTTTCAAATAAATAAATATTTTTTTAACTTTTATTTAATGAATATAAATTTCCAAAGTACAGAATATTAATTACAATGGCTTCCCCCCCATAACGTCCCTCCCACCCGCAATCCTCCCCTTATCCACTCCCTCTCCCCTTCCATTCACATCAAGATTCATTTTCGATTCTCTTTATATACAGAAGATCAGTTTAGCATACATTAAGTAAATATTTTTTAAATAAGAGATTATGCATAAAATCTGCTTGCTTGCTTGCTTGCTTGCTTGATTGATTTGAAAGGCAGAGCAATAGAGAGAGGGAGAGAAGGAGACCTTCCAACCACCGGTTCACTCCCCAAGTGCCCACAACAGTCAGGGCTGGGTCAGTCTGAAGCCGGAGTCTCAAATTCAGTTTGGAACTCCCACGTATGTGGCAGGGACCAGGTACTGGGCCATCATCTACTGTCTCCCAGGATGCATTAGTTGGAAGCAGAGTATTGGATTGGAAGCAGAGTAGCCAGGACCCAAACCAGGCAATCCGATGTGGGTATCCCAAGTAGGGCTTTACCTGCTGTGCCACAACACCTGCTTCTGAAATCTGCTTCAACACTCTCGAAAGAGTTGGGTGAGAGCCAGTGCGGTGCTGTGGCATAGTGGGTAAAGCCACCGCCTGCAGTGCCAGCATCCCGTGTGAGTGCTTCTTTGAGTCCCAGCTGCTCTACTTCTGATCCAGCTTCCTGCTGATGGCTTGGGAATGCAGTATAAGATGGCCCAAGCGCAAGGGCCCCTGCACCAGCAAGGGAGACCCAGAAAAAGCTCCTGGCTCGTGGCTTTGGATTGGCCCAGTTCTGGCCATTGTGGCCATTTTGGGGAGTGAACCAGCAGATGGAAGACCTCTCTCCCTCCAACTGTAATTCTGCCTCTCAAGTAAATAAATAAATATTTTTTAAAAAATGAGAAAAATTTTAAAGAGTTGGGTAGGTGCTTCAGTTTTTTTTTTTTTTAGATTTCTTTTTTTTTTCTTTTTTCTTTTTTTTTTTTTTTTTTTTTTGACAGGCAGAGTGGACAGTGAGAAAGAGAGACAGAGAGAAAGGTCTTCCTTTGCCGTTGGTTCACCCTCCAATGGCCGCCGCTGCCAGCGCACTGCGGCCGGCAGACAGCGCTGATCCAATGGCAGGAGCCCTGGTCTCCCATGGGGTGCAGGGCCCAAGCACTTGGGCCATCCTCCACTGCACTCCCTGGCCACAGCAGAGAGCTGGCCTGGAAGAGGGGCAACTGGGACAGGATCCAGCGCCCCGACCGGGACTAGAACCCGGTGTGCCGGCGCCGCAAGGAAAAGGTATTAGCTTTAGGGGGGGGGGGGGCCCGGCCTTTCATTTTTTTTTTTTTTAATTTGGGGAAAAAAAAAAAAATTTCCAAACAAAAAAAGGGGTTTGAGAGAGACCCAACCCTTAAAAAAAAAATTTTTTTTTTGTATTTATTTTCTTTTGAGGGGGGAGGAGAGAGAAAACACAAAAAACACAGACCACATACCCAGAGCTCCCCCCACCCCAATAGCTCACTTCTAAAAAATGTCCTGAAAAAAACCAGGGCTGGGCCAGGCTGAAGTTATGAGCCAGGAACTCCATCCGGGTCCCCCACCTGGGTGGCAGGAACCTAAGTGCTTGGGCCCTCATCTGCCACCTCCCAGGCAGCAGATGCATTAGCAGCGAGCTGGGTCGGAAGCATGGAGCAACCAAGAATCAAAGTAGGCGCTCCGATAGGGGATGTGGGCGTGTTAAGCGCGGTACCCAGTGCCTGCCCCCACCCCTCTCTTTGGTAAGAAGCTGAAGCTGAGTGGGACACCGTCACTATTCAGGGAAGGCAGTGAGTTGTGTCCTGGAATTTGAGCTCCACGGACGCCCACCCAGGAGTTGGAGTTGCAGAGGAGAGCAAGGCTGTGTGGCAGTCACCTGGGCACAAAGTCACAGACCCTCAAAGTTCTCTATTCCAGCTCCTGTTTACTGTCCTCCCAGGGGTCCCCTGGCCCCGAGGGGACACCTCCTCAGGTGGGAGACTCATTGCTTCAGCAGAAAGCCGAGCAGAGCTGAGAAAGTAGGCCAGGCTGGGGTAGCGAAGCAGCAGAAACGCCCGAGAACTAAAGTCGAGAAGACTTCATGTTAAGGGAGGCAGAATGGGGGTGGGGCCGAGCCTGCCCAGACAGGGGGCAGGGCTGAGACAAGCCTCATTCCATCTGATGGCAGGCAGACTCCCTTCTTAAGCTGCTTTTCGGAGGAGGTGCAAAGTGCCCCATGGACCCTGATAAGAGGGGCGGGAGGCAGGCAGAAAGTCTCCTGCAATGCATGGTCTTAGCAGTTTGGAATGTCCCCAGGTGCAATCAGCATTCCTGTAGCCTTTCGGCTGCCGGCCTGCACCCATGTCATCAGGCCTGGGGGCTCACGCTGTGTTCTCACACCATGTATTTCCCTTCTGTCTTGGCTGCAGGGACGCTCCTAGGTTTTGTGTTTTTTTTGTTTTTTGTTTTGTTTTGTTTTTTGACATGCAGAGTTAGACAGTGATAGAGAGAGAGAGAGACAAAGGTCTTCCTTCTGTTGGTTCACCCCCCAAATGGCCACTAAGGCTGGCGCGCTGTGCCGATCCAAAGCCAGGAGCCAGGTGCTTCTCCTGGTCTCCCATGGGGTGCAGGGCCCAAGGACTTGGGCCATCCTCCACTGCACTCCCGGGCCACAGCAGAGAGCTGGTCTGGAAGAGGGGCAACCGGGACAGAATCTGGCACCCCAACCGGGACAAGAACCTGGTGTGCCGGCGCCGCAAGGCGGAGGATTAGCCAAGTGAGCCGTGGTGCCGGCCGCTCCTAGGTATTATCTATTCAACCTCAGTAACTAAAAGGTTTCCTCCTCTTTATAATTTTTTAAAAGATTTAGTTATTTATTTACTTGAAAGTCAGAATAATGGGGTGGGAAGGGGAGAGAGAGAGAGAAATCAGTCTTCCATCCACTGGTTTACTCCCCAAATGCCCACACCAGCTGGGGCTGGGCCAAGCTGAAGCCAGCAGTCCAGAGCTCCATTCGGGTCTCCCACATGGGTGGTAGGAGCCCAAGCACTTGGGCCATCCTCTGCTGCCTGCCCAGGTGCATTAGCGGGGAGCTGGAATGGAAGGCAGAGCCACCAGGTGGCAACCTGATACTCTGATTTGGGCTGCGGGCATAGCAAGTGGTGGCTTAATCGGCTGCTCCACAGCACCCGTCCCTTTCAGTCTCTTTTCAGAAGGATGTTTATAGTGTTTGCTCTCACCCCTCGCAGCTGCCTCGCTGCATTTTTGTGAGTGGAAGAGATATTGATTAGAAACAAAAATATTTCATTATGGATTGGCTGAGAGCTAGAGAGAGCCAGATTATGGAGCAGTGGGGCAGAGCACAGGACTGGGCCAGGGTGAGGGGCGGGCTGGGGCAGGGGGCAGAGAGGATGTTTGGAGCAGTGGTGTGGGTCACACGGGCAGGGGGAGCTTGGTGCTGGAGGTATTCAACGCGGCGGTCCAGGGATGGGAGAGGCGGTAGCTGAGGGTGAAGAGTGGGGTTGCCTAGGTGGAACGAGAAGGGGAGGGCGCTTGGGCAGTGGCAGCCGCGTGTACAAAGACCCAGACCCGGAAGGGAGCAAGGGGAGGGTGGGAGGAGGCTCCAGCGGCTGCAGTGCCTTGCGGGCGAGCAGGCATGGAGGACTGAGGGAGCCAGGCCAGGCCTTGCCACCCAGGGAATAGGCCTGCTTTTACCCAGAAGCCTGAATGCTCTTGTTCCCAGGAGCTTCCCTGGAGAGCAGCCCCAAGGGTGAAGCTGGGCCTGGCAGCCCAGGACAGCAGCTTGCCTGGTGCTGCCACTCTTTGGTGGGTACAGCTGCAGCCTTTGGGCTGAGGGCGCAGGTGAGGATGGCAGAAGTGCATGGAGAGTGAGGCGGGCCCAGGCTGCTCGGCTCCACTGCCCAAGGCCACGGGAACTCCCCAGGGGCTGTCCAGCTTGGCAGAACCCGCAGCGAAGACCAGGACCTCAAACAGGCCAGGCCCTCTGACTAGGGCAGGGGGCTGCGCCATGAAACAGCTGTACCAATGGGTGAGCCTCCACTCTGGAGTCAGAGTCCCTGATGGGATGGATGCTGACCTCACCACTGAGCCTGGGCAGGTTTCTCCAAGTCTCTGAACTTCACCTCTAAGCTGGGCGTGCTACAAACACCCTGCAGGGTTGCTTTGAAGATTGAGTTTGCAGATGCAAGTAGTTATTCAGTAAATTCTCATTCCTCAGATCTGAGGCACCTTAGGAAGAGGCCTCTGGGGTCCGCCTCCCTGCTAATGCACCCTGGGAGGCAACGTGACCGCTGGAGTGCTTAAGCCCCTGCCACCCACGTGAGAGGCCCAGATGGAGCTCCTGGCCCCTGGATCGACCTGGACTAACCTTGGCCTTTGTGACCATTTCGGGAGTGAGCCAAGGGATGGAAGTGCGCTCCATCTCTATCTCCCTCTTGCTCTGCCTTTCAAGTAGATAAAAATAGCAAATAAACATTACAAGGAGGCCCACGGTCCAGGTCCAGCTGCTCCTGTTGCCCGCTCCCTGGCACACCTGGCTCACCCTCAGGTGAGCCTCTAGCCTCTGTCTCTGGCCTCAGAGCCTCTGTTCAACCTGTTCCCTAGACCAGGACCTTGTGAACCAACAGATGGAAAATCTCTCTCTCTCTCTGCCTTTCAAATAAAAAAATAAGCTGCCACATCTGGATCCCATCTCAAGTCAATGAAACCCAGCCCCTTGAGCGTGAGTCCCTGAGCGGGGCTCCGTGCCCTGGGCGCTCAGGCAGCGAGGGAACAGCAGTGGGCAGGAGTGGTCCAGGCTGCTGTGTTCAGGACCTGCAGCCCGCCGGCAGAGGCCCCAGACAGGGGCAGCAGGGACAGGTCTCCTGGGAGCCTGGGGCTCTGCTGGCACCTGGGGCTGGGCGGGACCCGTCTCAGGACCCCGCCGCCATCCCTGCCCTGTGATTCATGCTGTTTGGGCAGCAGGTGTCGGGACAGCATGAAGTCACCTCACCTCGGTTGCCTCCTTGCTGAGCACGGGCCCAGGCCCTAGGCAGCGGGTGGCGGGCCGGTGTGGACATGCAGCGGGCGTGTGTGTGGTCGGGGTGGCGCACTGGCTGCAGGAACGTGCTGGCAGGAGGGCTGGTGCCGACTCCAGGTGTAAACAGCTCTTGTTGCAGACGCCCGCCCCATCGCTCACGTGCTGGCTGTGTGGTCTTGGGCAGCTCCCGTACCTCTCGGAAGCTCTACAAAGCACAAATCGAAGTCTGGCTCTCCGGCTCCCAGAACTTTGCGCTCCTTCCCCCTGCCAGGTCTTAGGCCAGCCTGTCCCCTCCCCTGGACTGCCTCCATCTCTCTTTCAAGCCTCAGACCAGACATCGCCGCTTCCTGAAGGCCTTCGTGGCCTCACGCTGGAAGGAGGCTCCCTTCCCCTCTCCAGCACTGCTCCCACCGTGGCCCTCATGGGACCTTCCATTCTGTCCACTGCTCCTTGCTGAGTTGCCTGTCTACTGCCCAGTCATTCAATACGCCCCCCAGTGTAGGCACTGTGTCTTTTCTGCTTGGTCATGTCTACTTATTTGAAAGAGAGAGAGAGAGAGAGAATCTTCCATCTGCTGGTTCACTCCCCAAAGTGCTGCAACCATCAAGGCTGGGCCAAGATGAAGCCAGGAGCCTGGAATTTTATCTGGGTCTCCCATGTGGGTGGCGGAGACCCAGGAACTTGAGCCACCGCCTGCTACCCTCCCAGTCGCATTAGCAGAAGGCTGGTTTGGGAGCACAGAGCAGCTGGGTCTGGAGCCAGTATTCTGCCATGGGATGCGGGGGCTCAAGCAGCAGCTTCACCCACGGCACCACAACGCCCACCGCTCGCCACATCTCTCTACTGAGTAACTTGTGCCACAACAGCCACCCAGCTAAAGTGGGTAACTCAGCGAAGCTTAGCAAATTCACAGAGCTGGTGGCCATCGCCACCATTGGTTTCAGGACACTTTTGTGTCCCCAGAAAAACCCCCGTGCCTGTTCTCAGTTAATCCCTGTTTTCACCTGTGTCCCTGGACAGCCACGGCTCTGCTTTGTGTCTGGTTTTGCCTTTTCTGGAAACGTCCCAGGAACGGGGTCACCCAGGGCGTGCTCGTCCACAGCTGCCTTCTTTCACATAGCCGACGCTCTCTGCTCCTGGTTCACGCTGTTGTATCCATCATTTCTTTCTTCCTCTTGCCGGGGAATGTTCTGTGCACCGTGTACTGTCGTCTGTTTGCCTTTTGGACTTTTGGGTTACTTCCTGTTTTTGTCTACGAACGAACACTATCAATATTTGCTTACCAGGCTGCTGTTTCACCCAGGTAGATACCCAGTTACCCAGGAGCGGGACTGCTGGGATGAGCGCTAAGTGTTTGTTTTACTTCCTAGGCAACTGCCACGCTGTTTTTCCAAAGGGGCTGTCACGCCTTGCGGGCCCACGAGCAGCGCGGGAGGTGGTAGTGTGTCTTATTTACCAAAGTGTTCCCAGGCTTTAGGCTGATTCCTTGACATTTGCGAAGTATTTAGTAGAATTAATGAGTCAATGACTGCTGGCTGAGCTGGCAGGTGGCTGAGCCCCTGCTCTGAGCCTGACACGGTGCTATCACCTGGGAGGCTCCACGGGAGACATGGCGGGGGCCTGGGGGGCTGTCCCTCGTCTGGGTGAGCATCAACAGAACACTGCGTTCCCAGGCTGCAGTGGGGAGCGTCGCCGTAACCACCTCTGTGACTGCACGTCCTTTGAAACCAGCCACTCCCGCAGCGTTTCCCCCAGTTGCAGGGTTTATAATCGGAACTCTATTCTCTTTGTTATTCTTTCATAATTTCTGCACCATCAAGAACATTTATAACCACCACAGCAAACTACAAATATAGACTTAAAGTGTATGGAACATTAGAAAATGTTATGAAATACTCTGAGCTCAACGAAGTGACTGCATTTCTGTTTATTGAGAAAGTTCTCGAGGACAGGAGATGCACTAGGCCCCCAGAGACCAGAGACAGGCCCCAGCCCCTACCTTCCAGGAGCTCATCGCCAACGAATGCTGCTCTGAGCAGGGACGCATGGTGTGTCGTCCCTGACTTCTGGGTGAAGAATGAAGGCTGCTTCTGTGTGGGAAATGCCCTCTGCTCTGGTGCTGAGGACAGGAGGGTTTGCCACGTAGATGCAGACAATCTCTTTAGCAGCCTTTTACGACACACAGAGGTTCCACGGGAGGTTCATCCCTCCATCACATCGCGGGACAGCCAGGGGCTTGATATTAAAGCATCCTTCGGGGGCAGATGTGCAGCCTAGTGGTCCATTCCCGTATCAGAGAGCCTGGGTTGGGTGCAGGGCTCGGGCTCCACTCCACCTTCCTGGTGAGGCAGACTCAGTGGCCAGCAGGCGACGGCTGAAGTACCTGAGTCCCTGCCACTCAAATGGGAGACTTGAATTGAGTTCTTTTTTTTTTTTTTTTTTTGACAGGCAGAGTGGATAGTGAGAGAGAGAGACAGAGAGAAAGGTCTTCCTTTTGCCGTTGGTTCACCCCCCAAATGGCCACTACGGCTGGTGCACCTCACTGATCCGAAGGCAGGAGCCAGGTGCTTCTCCTGGTCTCCCATGGGGTGCAGGGACCAAGCACTTGGGCCATCCTCCACTGCCTTCCCGGGCCACAGCAGAGAGCTGGCCTGGAAGAGGGGCAACCGGGACAGAATCCGGCGCCCCGACCGGGACTAGAACCTGGTGTGCCGGTGCCGCTAGGTGGAGGAGTAGCCTATTGAGCCACGGCGCTGGCCTTGAATTGAGTTCTTGGCTCCTGGCTTTAGCCTCAACAGCCCAGTCTGTTGCAGGCATTTGGAGAGTAAATCAATCTCTCTCACTCTCTCTCAAATAGATACAATAAATTAAAAAATTAAAAACATTTCTGGAGGCAAATGCTTACAAAATATTCCTTCACAGAGTAGATTTTAATGGAAAAAATTAGAAACTGGTTAGGCGTCACATAATTATGCTTTCAAAAGCTTTGGCAGAATCTCAATGTTAAAGATATATTGATGTGGCTCACAGTTCCAGAGAATGAAAATCCAAAAGGCATAGGGCAGGCTCTGGCGCAGGCTCCATGGTCGTGGCAGGAATGTGTTTGAGAAGGATCACCATGGGAGGCAGGGAGCAGAGCGGGAGATGGGGTCGGGTTGGTTGCTTTTATCACAGCCCTCTGTGAGAGCTACAGGGAGGTGCAGGAGCAGTGCTTCCTCCATGGACGACCCTCCAGGTCCCCTCCAGGCCCCACCTCCTTCAGGGGCCACGCCCTTCCCAGGGCTACCACCCTGGGGACCAAGCCTCCAATCACATGGATGTTTGGGGAACACCCACACCCTATCCAAGCCTCAAGCCGGGGTTCCTACCAATCTGACTCCATTGGGATTTTCATAGTGTGAGGCTTTGGGGGCCTGGCATTTTGGCGCAGTGAGCTAAGCTGTTTCCTGGGACTCTGGCTTCCCAGTTCCAATCCAGCTCGGCTTCCAATCCAGCTCCCTCTTAATGCACCTGTGAAAGCAGTGGAAGGTGACCAAAGTGCTGGGACCCCTGCCACCATGTGGGAGACAGAGATGGAATTCCAGGCTCCTGCCTTCAGCCTGGTCCAGTCCCAGCCATTGTGGCCATTTGGAGAGTGAACCAATAAATGGAAGCACGCTCTCGCTCTCTCTCTCTCTCTTTCTCTCTCCCTCCCTCCTTCTCCCCATACATATTTTGCCTTTTAAATAAATAAATCTTCATAATTTGAGGCTCTGATTTGCTTGATAATCTACGAAAAGAATGACCCAGTCTCACGGCCGGGCAGTCCCCCTTGTTTTGGCACGAGGCTGCTTTGTGCTGCCGCAGCCGCACTGTAATTGTCTCAGGCTGATGAGGCAAAGAAGAGGCAGGTCTCGGCTTGGCAGTTGATTCTCCAGCACCATGAGCTCAGCCCATGGGCCTGGGAGATGTTTTGGACCTGAGCAAAGAATTCGAATGACTCTCAACTAACAACCCCCCACCCTTCACCAAAATAATACACACACACCCTGTTCATTGCAATAATTTCAATCACAGAATTATAAAAACAGATCTTTTTTTATAGCAAAAGACAGTGAGGTTTGATGTGGGGACATCGGAACATGTTCGCTGCAGGCGGCAGTGGCATCTCCGGCTGACCCTGCCGGGGGCTGTGGGTGGCATCCCCGGCTGACCCTGCCGGGGGCTGTGGGTGGCATCTCCGGCTGACCCTGCCGGGGGCTGTGGGTGGCATCTCTGGCTGACCCTGTCGGGGACTGTGGGTGGCATCTCCGGCTGACCCTGCTGGGAGCTGTGCGGTCCTTAAGTGGCCCCGGGGGACCGGCGTGGAGGTGCAGCAGTGACAATGCTGCTCCTGGTGCTGGGGCCTGGCTGTTCCAATTCTGATCCCGCCCCCTGCCAATGCTCCCTCCCGGGGGCAGCGGAAGATGGCCCAAGCACTGGGCTCTGCCGTCACTGGAGGGGCTGGGCTGAAGCTCTTGGCTGCTGCCTGACCCATCCCTGTCTTTGCGGTCATTTGGAGAACGAACCAGCATATAGAAGATCTCTCTCTCTCTCTCTCTCTCTCTTTCTCTCTCTGTAACTCTGCCTTTCAAATAAATGAATACATATGTAAATAAATATTTCAAAAAACAACAGAAGAAAAGAATTTCATTTTTTTAATTAAAAAAGACATTTCTTAGAATACTGAAATTAAGAGAAGTTTATTTGGGTGCAAGAAAATTTGAAATCTATGCTTTTTTTCATAATATACATTACACTTCAAAAAAATGCTTAAACTTTGTTTATTTTTTTATTGGGAAAGCAGAGAGACAGGCAGAGAGATCTCCCATGCCCTGGTTCACTCCCCAGATGCCTAGGCCAGGCTGAAGCCGAGAAGGAACTCAGTCCGGGTCTCCCACGTGGGTGGCAGGGACCCAAGCACTTAAGTCCCTACCTGGTGCCCCCAGGGTGCGCATTAGCAGGGAGCTGGAGCCAGTTATGGAGCTTGGACTCACAGCCAGCCACTCCGATAAGGGATACAGGCGTCTTGGCCACTTGGCCAAACACCCACCCGGCGGGAACTTTTTGATGACCCCTCACATCTATCCTGTCCTCAGTGGGTCAAGGCCTCAAACAACAGGGACTCCAATGAAGAAGCTTCGCTTCCTCCATCCTCACATCCAATCTGCCAAGAACTGAGTCCCCGTCCCGCCGCGCCCCCCAGCCCAGCCCCCACGCCCAGCCGCACCATCTTCTCCTGGATGTGCCAGTAGCCAGCCCACTCTCGTCTCCCTGCTCTGCCTCCTCCACTCACAGCAAGAGGGAGGTTGTATTTTTGCACTGTTTTTTTTTTTTTTTTTTTGGTTTAAAAAAATCTATTTTTGGAGCAGTTTTTGGTTCACAGCACAATTTGGGAGGAAGACACCGAGACTCCCCCTACACTCCTGCACCCAGGCACACAGCCCGCATGTTGTCAACAGCCCAAGGTGAGTGGGACCCTTGTCAGAACCAACAAGCCTTACTGTGAGGGGTCCGCAGCACCCAGGGACGTGTGGGTGACCTGTGTGAGCCCTACATTGTCCTGCCCGTGGGACCCTCTGTGCTCCGTGCTCCCCGCCCCGCCCCCCGCTCATCCCCTCAGTCTCAGATCTCTCCAGAACGTCAGCTCGTCGGAATCATCAACGTGCAGCCGTGGTGGACTTCTTACTTCACACAGCAACGCGTGCTTAAGTCTCCTGGGTGTCTTTGCCTGGCCTCGTAGACCAGCGCCCCTCGCCCGCTGTCCGGAGGTCCCCTCGCTGTTTACCCCTCAGCTACACAGCTTGGCTGCTCCCGGCTCTCGGCCAACGTGATCAAAGCTGCTGCAAGTCTCCCTCCGTGCAGGCAGTGGGCACGAGTCTTCACCGCCTTTGGGGAGATACCAAGAAGCATGAGTGTTGGGGTGCACGCCAGAGGCTTTCATGAGACACCGCCAAGCTCTCTTCCAATGTGGCTGTCCCATTTTGCGTCCTCACCAGTATGAATGGGAGTTCCGGTTGCTCCTTGTCCGCACCAGCACATGGTGTTGAAGGGTTCTGGATTGAGTCATCCTGATAGACACAAATATCCTGCTGTCAAAACTGTAGTGGCAAGGCTGGCGCTGTGGCGTAGTAGGCTAAGCCTCTGCCTGAGGCACCGGCTTCCCATATGGGTGCCAGTTCAAGTCCCAGCTGTT